TCATACTTCAATGATATCAAAAAAACTTTCAATCAAAATTGTACTAAATTTATCGCACCGTTAATCTTTGTCTCGTCTCTTTCGCTGTGTTTCCTTCATTCATGACTTGCTAATTAAAATTTTTTTTTATTATTTCATTTCCTCTATTATACGCCACTCAATATCAGTGGTTTTGTCAGAATGGGTTTTTCGCCATTTCCAAAACGCCAGGTTCTTCATCTAGTTAAATACGTCGCGTAAATGTAGTACAAGAGATCTTCTGATATCTTTCCTAATGCTATCGTGATAAGTATTTAGGAACCTTTTCAGAACTATTTCAATGGTTCACATAAACGATCGAGTTTCTGCGATCTTTCGACACTCTTTGCATGCTTTACGTCACTTAAGTTCACGATCTCAATAAGCACAGTTTTGTAATGTCTTCAATGATTCTTTTCATTCGATAGAAAAAGATTTTAAATTATCGGACTTAAGTAATGCATACGAAATTTAAAGCTCTGATGCTTCCGAAGATGTTTTAAAACCAAAAAACGTTGGAGATTTTACTTTGAACTTGCTCCTAGAAACTTTGCAGCACATTGACAGCTGTCAATGCTCACTTGACATGCCACAAAAACGGCGCTTCATTTAGCACGGTAGACCTTTGTGGCCACCTTCGTATGTACCATATGTACCGTTCAATGGCCTACGCCCACTTTTAATTAGTGCTCCTCGAAATCGTATCAATAGTCTGCGTTTTTTTTTTAATTTTGTGGCACTTTGTCATACAACCAGCCGCAGCGCTGTGGCAAGCGCATAAAAACCATCTGCAAACCGCTGACGTCCCGCCTCCGCCGCCGTCAGCCCTGCCAACAGAGCAAACAAGCAAAAAAACTGCAACACTCGACACAATCGAGTAATAACTATGTAAAGTGTGCGAGTATAAAAATGCACACATACTAACGCGCATTCACAACAGCTTTGCAATAACAAATATTGTAGAAATAATTACATAAAGTACGACTAATTACACTTGATTGTTCACACGTCATTAACATGGCAAACAGTGGCTTACACGACCCTTACGCGCAAGCCGCTCCGCAGAGTGTAATAAATATGGCTAACACACAGAACTACCTAGGCATATATGTACATTCATACGAGAGCGTTCCGAAATCTCAGGCGAATCAAAGTCGTAGTTTTGTTTTGACCATGGGTGCGTCCCTGTAGTTTAAAAAATTTGAGTAAAAGCAATATTGTAAGGTGATTGATGCTCGCTCTTGGAAGGGAAATCGCGCAATTAAATCAAAGATTCTTCTTCGATGGTGACTGTCAAAAATTGGTGTAAAAAGCTTGAGGTTGCCCATCGGTTTTTGATTAGCCTCCTCTACAGATGAGTTACGCCCAGGTATCTTGAAAACCGCTAAGACATTTTGTTTAATTTCTTGAGCGTCGACGAGTATGGATCCAATGGTAAAACCAGAGACCAAGGAACAGTTCAAGTAGTGGACTTCACCAGACGAATCTACTCCGAAGAAGGCAAAGGCTATCATCGACTGGAAAGTTGATTTGGACCAATCTACGATTCACAAGGTGTGTTCTACATTGATTACCAGAAGGAGAGAGAGCAAAACGATAGCATGACTATATTATGCTGAATTCTTGATCTGATTTGACGTCGAATTGCCGAAAAAATCAATCTAAATGGCGGAGAAAAAAAGTGTTCTTTCACCATGTGAAGGCAGCGCTTCACGAGTCCGCCGCCGTCACGCGGAAAATGTCCGCATTAGGTTATGAACAGCTGCTACATCAAGTGCTGATTTGGTTCCGTTTGATCTCTGTTTGTTTCCAAACTTTAAAAAGTCACTTTTCGGATAGAAAACGGAGCTGAGTGACTGCCGATCACGAAGTTGTACTTTGCAGACCACCAGAAAACGGGTCAAGTATATCAAACTAAAAGTAGACGCTGTGCAGAAGTACGTCACCATTTTCCGAAATTTACCGTTTAATTTTTGTAGGCTAAGTACTTAACAGACCGTCCCCGTATATTTATGCGGTGTGTGTTTGTCGAGTGCAGCTCATTGATGAACAAGTGTTCGTTCAGGTGTTCGCGTATGTGTGTATTTATTGGCTTAGCGACCAAACTCGAAACGTTCGTTCATGAACTCTCAACGCCACCACCACTACCAGCAACCGTGAAATGCAGAAAATATTTTGAGGTAAATGAAAACGCCAATTCACAGCTGATGTTATTGAAATTGAAGAATTGACAACAATAAAAAAATTAACAATAGAAGCCAGCAAACAGTGCAATTTGTTGTCTGTTGTCGCACAAAAAAGTCTAACTAACTGATAACCTCTTTGAAGAGTAAAATAATAGTTTTCGATTGGATTCAAATGTCATGGTGATTTGAAGCAGCAACGAAATTTTGTTATTGATTTGATGGTTTATATTTATTTAGAAAACGGGGACATAAAATAAGTCGAACTCATGTATGCATTTCCGGTTCAGCTCCTTGTGGTATTTTTATACTACCAATGAGATTGAAAAAAAAAACCATAAAACAACTCAAACAAGTTATTTCGAGTTGAGACAATATTATTGTTGTTTTAACTTTGCAAAATGCTGTGAAGTTGACAGTTCTTGGCCGATTAAAAATACAGATCCATTTTATGTACATAGCGACTGACAACTTTTTTGCGTCTTTATTTAAATAGATAGATAGATTGAAATTTGAGGAATGCACTGCGACTTGTGGTCTATTGTGGGAGAGGGTTATCTATATCACAAGACTTCGTTTAACCCAGCGAAATCCAAACCCAGCCTCAATCTGACCACTTTTTCTTGCGACTGCGGGGCTCTAATTTGTGCAGATGACACCACATTTCGTGACCTGTTTTGTATCGAACTCTCAGCGCAGAACGGTTCCGGTCCTATCGGACTGGTTGCCGCAGCTTCATTCGCCAGGAGATCGACTAGGTCATTTCCTTTGATGCCTCAATCCTAGTAGGATATTGTTTCAGTGACATCTCTGTTAAGCATTCTTATGCACTCCAGTACAGTTGTTGATTTGACGACAGACGAGATTGCCTAAAGTGCAGCTTGACTGACAATTTGTTCCCCGTGATAGTTTTTCTCTAGAATAATCTCTGCATAAGTGCATAGACCTCAGCTTGAAAAATTCTTGGAGACCTGCCCGTGTGCACTGATAGTTTAGTACGTGGTCCCGTTATACCATAACTTCATCTGCTGTTTTCGGACCGCCTGTATACCATTTCATTGTGCTCCTACGAAGGTACTCCTAAGGATGGAGTCTACCCATTAACTTTTGCTGATTCAGCTATTTCTCAAAAGCTGTGAGTGAGACGGTATTAACATTAACTAAAACTATAATAACAAAAATAAATGTTTCTTTATTGTGTACTCACTCACTCTCTCTCTCTTTATTCTTATATCTTTCTACTCTTTTCGATACTCAGCGAATGATAATAAATATTCCCCATTAAATTTGAGTTGTTTGTATATTTTTTTCTTTAAAAAAGTAGTGAACCTCAAAATGGATCACCCTTTAAATATATGTACCTTTTTGGAAACTTAACATTGGTTACACAGAGCAATATATCAATAATCCCACTATATAAAAATAAGTTTTAAGAAGTAAATATGTGTGAAATAATTTAAGCTTATAGCTAATGTAATCAGACTTGGCATTATATTGACTAAATATGGTTTATAGTTTATATAACTTCTTATTTATAAAATTAGAATTTCTTCTTAAAAGAAACCTGTTTACTTGATCTCAAACCTTAGAGACTTTTTTTGAATAAATTTACTTTATAAGAAAAAATTATAATCCATCGAGATTCTCGAACTGTTCAACTTTGTGAAATCATAGATTGAGAAATTTTTTCTAAGGCACCCTTTATCTACTCTATTGCATATACATATTTTTTGTTTCGCACATAAAAAATCTCAAAAACTCTTTGGCCATCAAAAATCAAACTCAATAACATTTTTAATTACACAATTTAATTAAATTTGGCTTTCAACAATTGATGTTCATTTCATTAAAATTTTTTGTACACTCCAATTGCTTTTCAAATTAAATATTTAATGTTGTAGAGAAACAATATGGCTACAAAGTATTTACAGATTTTTATACCGCCATATTGTTTTTTTTTTTTGTTTTTTGTTTTTTGGAAATACGACTGATGACTGATTAGAGAACGAAATGCTGCCTTGGCACTTTTTCCCCTTAATTTTTTACTATCAGCATTTAATCATGTTTTGAAATAACAGAGGTGTTCTTCAAACTCTATCTCGGAATAGAATAAATTGAGGTCGGATGAGGGTAGAAATAACAAAGATCAGAGTGAACATTATTAAAAGTATTTAGCCTTACATTGCATGCGTTAATTATATACAATTGTATGAATAGCTAAGTCTAATCTGCTTTAGTAAAATTCTGTGAAAACCCTATTTTGGAATTGCGTTGAAAAGTAAACAATATCTGAATATGAAACCAGCTCAATTTCGGTTTCGAAGAATCAACTGCTAAAAGAACTTTATAACTTATTCGGACAATGGACTCTTCGATTTTCAAGCTGAAATAGTTTTATCCTTATTACAATATATATAAATACTAACTACAACAAAAATCGACTTATTTTTGGAAGAAATTTATTCGAAACAAATAAAATAGATTTTTATATTCTTGCAATTTTCAAGGATTCAAGCTGGTGGCATATTATCTGGTGCTACAAGAGCGCATTATTATTGAGAAAAATTTTATCTCTGTATTTCAACTATATATTTCACAGATTTATCGATAATTTCAGTAAAAAAGTCAACCACAGACACGTGGATTCATATGTTAGATATCGGGAAATCTGAAAAGTTATTATATATATATATAGCCTAGGTTGTGAAATGTATATCTATCTCCTCTTAATATACTTTTAAACCAAAAGACCTTTGTTCATTGCCGTCTCAATCAATCTTAACTATCTTAAGTACTTACATATAGTGTAATGGATCGTTTCGACACTGAAATTAAAAAAAAAAAATTAAAAATTGTCAATAAAATTTCAAAAACTTATTATAAAAATTATTTGAATTTTTTCAAGAAAAATATTTAATACATCCCATTTGTCTTCTACTGCTGACCAAATTTCAAAATTCATAAAAAAAACGGTTAAATATTATGAAATTACTAATTGTTGCAATAAATTTTATGAACTTCAACTCGCTTATTTTAACGAAATTGCAACCGAAATGCCTGCCCAAGTGTTGGCTTAGTTCGCAGCTAGTCTTGTTGGCCATCAAACTGGTTTGGAATGGTTTCATTAATGTAATGGCCCATGTGGCCTGACATTGATAACGAAGCAAAGAGCTTTGCAAAAGTGTTCGGATCGAGTTCAAAGTCTTAACCTAACACTTGATACAATTGCCACAAACTCAATGCATGTGTTCGCAGTAATATGATATTATTGACACTGCTCTTCAAGGTAAATGACAAGGTTGGCAAATTGCAACAAGGCAATTAAAGTGCACAGAGCAACAGCCAAGAAGTGAGGAATATCTGTAGATGATGTTGTTGTTGTCGAAGGCGTAGGTCAACGTTTATCACTCGTGACAATAAAATATTTTAATCGGCTAGCTGAGAGTGCTTATTAAATTTATTTTATGTTTATTCGGATGTTTAGTAGAAGTGGAATATGTAATATTTGGTGAAAACTAAAAATTATGCAATAAAAATTGAGTGTGGAAAAACTGAATCGCTTCCGCAATGTTATTACAATATTACTTTGATAGGTCAGTCATTTTTTTATTTCGTCATCCAACTCAAAGCTATTTTCTGACATCTCTGTGGTTTATTATCTATTGAGACGAGGTGTTCTAATGCCTCTCTTATGTCTATTTCACTGCACTTTCTGCATATATCGTCGTTACTATTGCCCATTCGGCTCGCATGGGAAGCCAGTAAGTTGTGACCTGTGTCGAGTAGAAAGCTTGGACGTTATTTGTCCGCTCCCTTAAATACGATCTTGGCGATCCTGCATTCACGCTGATCCAACTGTCAGCCCTTTCGGAAATTTCATTGTATACCGTTCTAAGCGACTTGCATAAGGATAAGATGTTGACTCTAACATCTTCATACATGCGAAGAGAGCACCACTGTCTTTTTTAACACTCTCTTCCGTATTAAGTTTCCATGTCAGTTTGCTGTCCAAAATTACTCCTCTCTTCCTAGTAGTTAGCTCTACAACCCTGGGATTTAGAATTTTCAATGACGGAGCTTTGAACCTCCTTGTACAGAGTACCATACCCATCTTATCGACATTAACCTCTAGATTAGCCGATATTGCCCATTGATATATGACTTTTAGAGCGCTATTTATCATGCTTCTAATTGTGTCTTGGAACTTGCACGTCCCTAGTATAGCGATGTCGTCTGCGTAGACTATCAGTTTGGGTGCTCTTCCATCAATTTTTCCCAGAAGCTCATTTGCTGCAAGTCACCACAGAAGAAACAGTACACCCCCTGAGGAGTTCCCATTCGCACTTATCTGCGCAATCTGGTTTGTTACCAGTCTAGCTAAAACTTTCTGCAGCTTAGTATAGCTTTTATCTATGTCATGCCATAGAGCCTGGCTTCGATAGAATATTGTCCCTAATGTAAGCATCTAGAATCCTTTCGAAAGTCTTCAGACGAATGAGGTTAGACTTAATGGTATATATTCTTTTAAATAAAGGGAGACTCCTTTACCCGTCTTTGATATCAATATGGCCCCCGCTCTCTCCAAGGCTAGGCTGGAAAATGTTTCTGAGAGTTAAAGTAAAAAAATAGGGTTGCACAGTACACATTTCCATCAAAAATGTGGCCTAAATACAAAACATTGGATATTAGGAACTTGGGTCAACACGAACTCGTCGTTAAAAATTTGAAACCCATGTCGATGAAAGTCGTTTCTCTTAAGCAATTTCAACAAACCTTCTATACAAATACAAGTATACTAAATTCTATACTTTTCCCGTAAGGTACATAAGTCTAAACTTGTACAACTTGAACTTTTCTCAGCAAAAGGAAGAAATAAAACGAGTTTATCAACGGTGATACTCCGAGTATTGCTTAATGCAATTTCCAGCAAATAACATTGGAAGTTTGAACCAAATATATATATATATTGAACCAAAATAAGGAAAGAAAATATAAAAGCATACAAAGTGAAATGAAAGTATACTTGTACAATTTTTATCGCCTCTAAACGGAAATGACTTCATTCATAGCTTACTTTTAAGGTTTGGAAAAACCTCAGCCCGAAAAAAGGGATTAATAAGTATTTTCGGTCAAAATGAGGCTGCGTAAATTCGCACAAAATTATGCAATGTTATTGATATATTGTAAATACATATATACATGCATACATACATACCTTATATATGTATTATATACTTATAATATACATATATACTCCTTAAGGCAATCACGTACATGTTTTATGCTTAAGTAAACGATTTTTCACGCACTTATTATTAACCTCACTTGCGCCATATACCTATACATACCATTACTAGCACACAGACACACACACACTTACATACATATATATATATGCATACACACACATATTATGCGCCTTACTTTGTAATTCATTCCAGTTGATCGCCAGCCATTCATGCATTACCGTTATCGCAATTGCTCTTACAATTGACATTGCGATTGCTTTTGCCATTTGAGTTGGTTGTGCGGTGGCGTTGTTATGGGCAACAACGACAATGGCGATAAACTGCCTAAAGCAGAACATCAAAATAATAACCACGTCTGCGTGCAGCATAAAAATAGTATCATTTAACGCTGCCACGAAAGTCAACTGACAACATTGACAAACTACAATGGCGTATATATGTATGTACATAAATGTGTACAACAACATAGCCATGTCAATTGCCACTTGACCGCCAATCAACCGATCAATGGCGTCTATGGCAACTGCAACGCTGCCGGCGTCGCTGCGTTGCGCCACTAATATTGTATTACAACTAAGCTATTATAATTTTATTTTTACTGTTAGCGGCTGCAACAGCAACAACAACAACCACCAATACAACTACAACAAATTAAGTAGCAATACAAGCCATAACCATAGCAGCAGCAACAACAAAAACCACCCCGGCTCGTCCATGCGTCAACCGTTGTGAACGGCATCAAAAATCACTTGTATGCCTGTGTGTGTATGTGCCTGTGTGCTGTTGTGCCCAGCAATCACAAAAAGAGGTTTGATATGAGTTTTGATTTATGTTATTTGCGAAAGATATGCAATGATTTGAGTTATGAAAAGGGATATTTTTGTCGATTTATTGAGTACAAGTGTTATTGCTTTCGGTTAACGGTTGTTTGTATTGGTATAAGGGAATCGAAGTGGCTATAGACCAACGTATATACTTTATATAGGTAGAAATATCCGAATGCTTTTAAAAATGTATTGAGATATGTGAACGAAAATGGGAAAGGTTGGGATTGAACATGTTGACAATCGGTTCATAGCGCTAACGTTACGGTATTTTTAAAAATGTAAAAATATTATATGTAAATTTAAACTTAACTTCGGTTGCTTCGATGCTAGAATATCCTTCACAAATAAAAAAAGTTTCCATAGAAGAACTTGATTTTGTTTGTTCAGTTTGTATGACAGCTATATGCTATAGTGTCCGAAATAGAAAATTTCTTCAGAAACCTGTTAACGCGATCGAGTACAATTGACCTTGGGCGCTAGAAAGCCAGTTTCATTAACTTTCTCGAGGCTTAGTAGGAATAAATCGAGACTGGCCCACTTATGGTTCTAACAGGCGCTTAATGGAAGATCAACCTTCCGGAAGTTTAAAGGACTGCACTCTTAGTCAATCAATATGAGTGATGGAGAAACCAATAGGGTTTTGAAAAGGTACTGATTTTGTCGGCAACAAAATATTTTTCAATGAGAGTGACCACCTGCTCCTACTTATATTATAAAAGTATATTCGAGGAATACCCAAAAATAACCAACATTGTTGTCCAATGGACAAATTACGAGGTACCTGCTGAACACAGCGTTGGTCAATCAATGGTTTTGGTACATTTAATATGCGGCACAGTTGTGGGTCACTTATGGTGATTTCCATGATGAAATATATAATGCTAATTTACACAAACACACACACATATACGTAAATACGCTTTTCGCCAGTTAGACTGCACGCACACACATACAACTAACGGTATGTTTGCAGGTGTGCTTTGTAAGTGTTGATAAGCTATTTGCACGGCTGTGGGCCTTTACAAATCCGAAACAATAAAATCAATCCAACAACAACAAATAAACACGCCATTTTAAGCAAATACAAACACGCTTAGAGGCAGCTGACGTCCAATATGCAATACAACAACAAAAAATTGAATAAACACAAATACATGAGTGTGACACATCTAAACAGCTGTCACATTCATATACACACGTGCTGACATATACGCATTGTCGCTTACATACTTCCAGGCGCAGACGCTGGTCCTGCTTGATCGGCTGTCATAAACAAAAAAATGAACTTATCAGCGATGCCAGCTAATATAATCGCATGCTACATATATGTACACGCCTAATAAGAAAGACGCCTAATTTGTGTAAAATGTGTATGTATATGTGGCTGTATGGAGGTAAACATATACTTTTATATACGTGTGTAGGTAGGCGCATACCCGGCTGTAAAAGTTGCAAGAATATCTTAAAGGATTACAAAATTATCGATTTAGGGACTCTTCCAATATCACTAAAACAAATAACAAAGACTAATCGCAATTTTAAGGATCAAAGGCGAGAATATACTATCTGCTGTTCGTAGATTGATTTCACTCACATTTCACATATTGACCCATATGCAAGGTGCAATTCAAAAGTTTCAGGACTTTTATTAAAAAACGAATATTATTTGTTTTTTTTTTGAAAAATTTATTGGTCGCCTTCAAAATAGTCTCCTTCCGCCTGAATACAACGTTTTGCACGTTCAAGAAG